TGATGCATGCCCCGCCCACCTGGATGGTTGTGGGCAATATACACCTGTTCTTTTTTTTTTCTTTTTTTTTTTTTTTTTTGTCTTTTTGTCTTTTTTCGTGTCCGGCAACGGATCGCAACCCTCAGTGTTGCCCCTGTACCGGACTGGGGACCGGCAACGGGATTGCAACCCTCGGTGTTGCCCCCGCACCTCGCTCAGCCAGTGAGCGGGAACCGGTCTGTATGTGGGATCCGAACCCTCGGGCGGGAGTGCCGCCACGCTTCCCAAGCGGCGCACTTATCCAGTGTGCCACCGGGCCGGCCCCAATATACACCTGTTCTAAAGAGGATGGGCTAGAAGCCCCACCCCCCTATTATGATTAGAAAGGGCAAAGACCACATGCTATAGGTTTAAGGACTGGGAGAAAGCCCCCAAGATTCTAAGATGTATGTTTCCAAACTTCTAAGATGGGGCTGGTGTTCTGATCAATGCATGGGACCAATTTGTCTAACCTCCAAGCCGGTGAGGCTGGAACCACATTAAAGTTCTAAAGGTGTGGGGTCAGGTGCATCTGAGTTCCAAAGGGATGGAGCTGTATCCAGCTAAACTTCTAAGTGAAAGAAGGTAAAAGATTAGGGTTGGCCATTTAGCTCGGTTAGAGGTGGGTGCTGTAATACTAGGCTTAAGGGTTCAGATCCCCTTACTGGCAACTGCAAAAAAAAAAAAAGGTGGGGGCCGGCCTGGTGGCGCACTCGGTAGAGTGCGGCGCTTAGGAGCGCGGCGGTGCTTCCGCCGAGGGTTCGGATCCCATATAGAGACCAGTCCGCTCACTGGTTGAGCGTGTTGCGAACGCGACACTGAGGGTTGCGATCCCGTTGCCGGTCACGAAAAAAGACAAAAAAGGAAAAAAAAAAAAAGGTGGAAGATTATATGTTTTTTTTTCCCCCTAAGAGCACATAAACAAGTAGTCTGCTCTCACGATTTCTATTCAGTGTTGTACTGGAGATAGCCAATGAAACAAGGCAACAAAAAGAAATAAAAGGCATAGGAAAGGACTTAGTAAAAAGTGTCTGTTCCCAGTAGACATGTTTATTTACATAGAAAATCCTAAATATTCTGCAAAAGCTACTAGGACTGATAAGGGAATTTAGCAAGGTCACAGGGCTCAAGGTCAACATAAGTAATACTGCTAGGTATCTAAGCTTGTATGGCTGTAAATGGGAGAGGGGAGTAGAGGGAAGAGAAGGGGCAAGTAACAAGCAAGCAAGTGGGGTTGGAACTCTGGACACACTATGACTTCCACCTCTATCTCCTCCTTACTGCAGGCTGGCTGAAGGCGGTGCAGGTCCTCATGGTGCTCTCCCTCATCCTCTGCTGTCTGTCCTTCATCCTGTTCATGTTCCAGCTCTACACCATGCGGCGAGGAGGGCTCTTCTATGCCACTGGCCTCTGCCAGCTTTGCACCAGTGAGCACTGTCCCTCCCCAGGGGAATTGAAGGGGGAGGGGGTCAGGACGCGGGGAGCCCTGAGAATGGACATCTGGAGAAAGAAAACAGTTTTCTTTCAGAAAATTTTTTTGTTTGTTTTCAACAGCCCAACTGCCTGCATGGACTATCTCTCTGCCCCAAGGACTGATAGGAGTTGTAGTTTTCAGTGACTCAGTAGTGGTTCTGATGAATGTCTCTGAGTCATGGGAGAACCGGCATGGGGAAACTTGAAGGGCTTTAAAGAAGCCTGGTCTGGGAAAGGGGATATAGGCAAATAATTTGAGTCCCAGGGATCAGAAGAGGGTTAACTAATTAATACCCCAAAAGAGAACTCTGAATCATAATAGCAATAGTTTTCTGGCAGCCAACGCGATTTCTTGTGTATCTTCTGTATATCAGACATTTCAGGGACTTCTGTTTACTTAATTTTTTATTTCAGGTGCAAAGTGCTAAATTAATCATAGTCCTTGGTTTGGGGAACATTATTTTCCCAGGTTCCCCACAAAGCCCCTCTGTTTCATTAATTCACTTTTGCATATTTGGCCTGTAGAAGAACCCTCAAAAATATTACTTGGATAGATGGATGGATGGATAGTTATTATCGTCCCACTATATGGATAAGCAAATGGGACCCAGAGAAATTAAATAAATTGCCCAAGGCCGCTCTGGAGTAGCTATGTTGCGTGGTGCTGGGGGAGAGAACCACAACTCCCAGCAGGCAACAGTGCTGCACACTCACCCTCCGGTGCTTCTTTGTCCCATGGTTTGTTGGGAAATGTAGTCTTGTGAGCACTGCTTGACGTGGGGTTCTTGTCTTCCCGCAGGCGTGGCGGTATTTACTGGGGCCCTGATCTACGCCATTCACGCGGAAGAGATCCTGGCGAAGCACCCGCGAGGGGGCAGCTTCGGTTACTGCTTCGCCCTCGCCTGGGTGGCTTTCCCCCTCGCCCTGATCAGCGGCATTGTCTACATCCACCTGCGGAAGCGAGAGTGAGTCCAGCCTTGCCCTGGCGCGCAGGCCTCCTCCCGGCCTCTAGCCTCACTCCGAAGCCCCCGTGCGTCTTCCAGAAAATAAAACCGTTTAGCCGCGGGCTCTGCCGTTAAGTCCTTCCTTACTTCCTCCCTTTCTTCCCTTCCTCCCTCCCTTCTCTCCTCTCCTCTCCTCCAGGGACTCAGGCTGTGCACGCCTGACCACCAGCCCTCCGCCCTCATACTGCCTATCTCCTAGCCCCCAGCCCCTCCTGAGGACACAAGAGACAAAACCCCAGCCACATTTTCCCTCCCACACCCCAAGACCCTGGGCCCTTCCCTCTCACCCTCTGATAGACGCCTGAGTCTAGACCTTCAGACACTTCTGGGTCCCAGTAAACTCTGTTAGGAATCAGTCTGGAGGGTCGGGTCGTCTTTACTTGCATAAGGTTCTGTTACTCTGCTGCTCTCTCTGGGACCCAGGCATGGTGTGTTTCTAGATTGTTGATCTTTTTTTTTTCTCTCTGACCCTGTGTCTGGGAAGAGAGTTCTTTTCCCTCTTGAAGTCCAGTCTCCCTTCCTTTCTAGTACCCAACCTCTCCATTTTTCTCCTTTCCCCAAAGGCTCCTCACATTACACCTTAGTAAAAATAAGAAGGCACCCTCCTAATCCTGGCTGACCCAGTCCCACACCAGGACACGGGCTGGACTTTACAGCCACCCACCCCCTGGTTGTGTGCCTTTGTGCGGTGAGCAATCTGCACAACTGCACAAAACCACCCTATCTCCCCTGTTCATGAGACCAAGACTCTGGGAACCAGGGCCTCTCCTCAGGAATAAGGGCCTTCTAGGATCCTCTCTGTAACCCACAGAAACTCTGTTTCACCAACCATGAACCCAGCCTCTCTCTAGGACTACATGCATTAGTATCCCCCAAGACCCAGAGTCCCTTCTTTCCAGGATTTGGATGACTTTCTTCCAACTGCTGCAGCCATCCCATTCATCCAGATTTATTAAACATGATTTACTCCTTTGGGAGAGGGGACACGGGAGAAATTGACAGGCCAATAAATATCGCACAGGCTGCTGGTGGTGGGGAGATCCAGACCGAGGTAGTTTCTGTAGAAAGGGTGAGGGACCTGGGTAGGGAAGGCACCTGAGTTTGTTGGCAGCCTGAGTGGGAGCAAGTCTAGGGCTGAGGGTGGTCTCTGGTTCCTCCAGGCCCACAGCTTTCTGCCTGGTACGAGGTTCTCAACCCCTCCAGCCTGGACACCCTGATCAGCAGTTGACCAGATGGCCCACCATATATAAGCAACAGCAATTGATAGGTCAGGTTTTCTTTAGAAATTATGATTAGTTGCTTCTCTGCAACAACTGGCTGCCCAAGGTTGATGGTGCCAAGCAGCTGTCACTGGCTGTTTGCCAAGGGGCAGGTCTAAACGGCACTCATGGACTGCTGGCTGCAGCTCTGCCTCGGTGCACATGATGGGCGGTTTGCTGGGAGCAGGCTAAAAAGACAGTGACATATAGCCTTGGGAGGGCACAACTCTGTCTGGTGGTTTTAAAAAGCCAGAGCTGAGCAGCTGTGGTTGGCTGACACCCCCACCGCCTCAGCCAAACCACTTTGAATGTTTTTGGCGGGGGGTGGGATTAAGAAATGGAATAGAAGCAACGCTAAATAGCTTTGATTTGCTGCTCATCAGAATGGGGCGTTCCTAGCAACTGCTCGCTGCTTTGACTGGCTGCAGTGTAGCAAAATAATTGCCTGTCAGTAATTGGAAGTTGGAGAGTGACAAAGTATAGTAGCCGTGACTGACAGCTTCTCATGGAGGAGGCAGAGCTTAGTTCCTAGCCAGGTGGCTGGGTGGGGTTGGACAGGAAGATTTTGTTCTGGGGTTGTTACTGCTGGGTGCTACATGGGAGTACTCGGAAGTGACTGTAGCCAAAGGCTCTAGTTTGGGGAAACCCGAGGGTGGGTATAGCCCCACGCTGGGGGTCAAGGCTTGTAGGTGGGCCAGGGCCCGAGTTCCGTTGAAGGTCACATCACAGCCTGACTTGGCCAGGAGCCAGTTCTCCACCTCCGACTGGAGCCACCTAGAGGTTTCTGCTGGGAGAGAGGCAGATGTGAGGTCAGATTGGGATGGGGAATGACTGGGAGGAGCCAGTGGGGAGAAGCATAGTGCAAAAATAGGAGGGGTCTGGGTTTGAGAGAAGTATAGGGTACACTTGAGGCTTGGAGGGGAGTGGGACAAGGCCTACGAGGCTCCAGAGGGCCAGGAGGCTCGGCTCTGGGACTCTTGTTTAGGGAAGGACAGGGACTCCTGTCGGGAAGGGGCCTACATAGGGAGCAGACAAGGGTCTCTTGTAGGGAGAGTGTGGGCTCATGCAGAGGAAGGAGTGCAAGGAGAGGGAACATGCCATGGAGTCCATCCAAGACCCCCATTAAGGCTGAGGTGAGGAGATGGAGGTTGTGTTCGGGGATCCCGTCTGCTGAGCGCTGGGGTCTCCTCACACTTTGGTTAGGTTCACCAGTGGGAACTAGGAGTGGGGATAGTGTCTAAGTGGGACTGGACCCCAAAGGGGCTGGGCCGGACCACACAGAGGCACTGTCCCAAGGCCGCATCCTACCTTCACGTGGGCCGTGCACATCCCCCGGCCGCCGGGCCAGGAAGCTGTGAGCCAGCAATGCCTCCTTGGTGTGCTCCTCCTGCGCGCGTAGGGCCAGGGCGCTGAGCAGTTCCGAGTTATTGGATGTGCTGCGATAGTAAAGCATGTGCGCCAGCTCCAGCGCCTGCACGCTGCGCCGCTGCCCGAACATCTGCAGGCAGGACGGAGCTCAGCGCGGCGACCCGGGACTTGGGGGGACGCAGAGGGAGGCGCAGGGCCGTGCGCGGCCCCCACGCCGTCACCCCTTTCTCGCAGACTCCCCAGGGGTAAAGGGAGGTGCGCTGTTGAAAAACAAATGTCCCAGGGCCACAGTTCGGGCCCCCAGGGCTGAGGTCCAGAGATCTGTTTGTTTTGTTTTGTTTTCTGCTGGCAGGTACGGGCATCCGAACCCTTGACCTTGGTGTGGGAATCTGTATTTTTAACACACACACTCTTGTCTCAGTGGCTTCCAGGCCGCCAGCCCAACCCAAGCTGGAAGACTACAGTTTCTAGCAACCGCGGCACTGGTTTGCCAATCTGAGCCGTATTAATGGATTTGCTCAAAGATTTCCAGTTTTAGCCTTGGAAGGTTTTGTTACAATAATAAGTTATATCTTTGAGAGACATACTAAAGTATTTCCAGATAATATTAGGATTCAAAATGATCCAATGTTCTGGTCAGAACCCCCTCCCGCAAAAAGTCCGATGTTGAGGGAGAGAGGTATTCAAACAAAATGGCATTTACTACTGCTATTTGCTGAGGCTGCATACTGGCTACATGGGAGTCTGTCATACTATTCTATTTCTGTATTTGTTTGGACTTTTCCATAATTGGGGGGGGGGGGTTAAACTATTAAATTAACCGACCAGCTGCCAAAAAATAGAATAAAATAAAATTAAAAATAAACAATTAAATTGTAAAGAGAAGTGGAGGGAAGAAGAATGTTGGGGGGGGCAGGCCTGGGGCCCAGCTGTCTATTGGCTGCCCCCCTTCCCCATCTTTGGTCCCCTCCTTGTTTGGACCCCTTTCCCCATCCTTGGTGTACCCAAGTGGGGAAGTAAGAGCCCACCGGTGCCCTCTGGGCTCACTCTGAAAATCTGTGCTGGTAGTCCTCCATTCATCCACTAAATGAACTCAAGGCTACTGGGTCCTACAGCCAGTAGGACTGGGTGCCTGTCCCAACTATGCCCCTACCAGCTGCGAGCCCTCAACTAAGACCTAAGTCCTTGGGTAGCACTGTCTATAAAATGAGGTTGATGCCAGGGAGCGTTCAGGAAGTAATACCCAGTTAATGAAACACTTAGGACAGAGCTTGGCCCATCACAAGCACTTAACGAACATTAGCTACTGTGGAATAGTCATCCACAACCCATGCTAGGTGCCCACAGAGTGTTGCTCCTCTTACATCGAGGCCTAAGGTAAAATGCCTCTGAAGTTAACACACCCCAGAAAATTGCTGAAGTGGCCTGTGCGGTACTGATGACACAGCTGTGTGTGGACTGAGCCCTCTTCTTACAAGCCCAGCACACTCAGTTTATGTCCCTGCATTAGAACAAATCGCCATTTCTTCAGTTGAGGGTAAGATACAGGAATAGCATGCATTAGGAACTGTCTGGTATGAAAAACACATTTAGGTTTTGTGTCTGTGTCTGCCAAGCTTATGGAGATGAATTCTCCTATGTTAAATCAGGTCATGCGAATTTTATGGCACACAAATGAAGCCAGACATCGCCCTAGAGAGAAGTTGCCACCTGCCACCTGGATGGTCCCTTCAACACTCACCATGGCTCACACTGAGCTCACCATCTCCCCCAGCCCACTTCTTCCTCCTTCCCTGGGATCCATTTCTGGAGCAGCCCCACCATCTACTCAGTCACAGGCAAGATCACTGGCACCATCCGCCCTCCCTCCTCACCTGCTTTTCACTCCTGAGGCCCATCATGCTGTCCCTTGACTCTCTGTCTCATCACCTCGTTCTCCCGCTCCACAGATCAGTCCCAGCTCAGGATTTATCCTCTCCTGAGCTGGTACATTGCCCCAGCCTCCTCCTTGGCCTCAGTCTCCCCACTCCAGTTTCTTCCCACACAGCTCCAGAGCTGCCCCTGCCCCTCCCATGGCTCCCCAGTGCTCCCAGAGAGCCCATGTTCCTTAACCTGGTACCCAAGGCCCTCCCACTCACCTCCTCCTCCCCTCTGAATGCAGCCCACATTGCATAAACCAGTTTACCCTGAACATACTCTGCTTTCTCGGGCCTCCAGGTTTTGGAACAAGCCAAGTCACCCTGATCTGTTCTTGGAAAACACTCACTGCCTCATCCTCAAAGTTCAGGAAGGACTTTGCTTCCTACCAATGAGCAGTTGCATCCTCAGGCTCCTGCAGTGCTCGCTGCTACCTCCATTAGGCATGTGAAAGTCTGTGTCCCTGTGTCCTGCACCTCTTCCTCCAGGGCAGGATCAGGCAGATGCATCTCTGGGGCGCCAGTTCAACAACCCTCCCCAGGCTGCCCCATGGGCCTGCTCTGTGCTGTGCTAAGGGGATACACAGTGAAGCCCAGGGTATGGTAGAGCCCACAGGAACACCATCCCAGCCTGAGATATCCAGGAAGGCTTCCCAGATCACACAGCATCTGAGCTGAGAGTAAAGGGTGAGCAGAGGCTGGCCAGCCCAATGAGGGCGAAAGAACACTTCAGTCTGAGGGAACAGCTTATGCAAAGTCAGAGAGTGAGAGAAGCAGGGCCCAGGGACCAGGGGAGGCACCACAAGCATGTTGGTGGAGCTGAAGCATAGTCTCTGAGGTGAAGCATTGTGTCCGATGAGGCTGGGGAAGCATGGTCCCTGATGTCAGGCTGTCAGCCAGAGAGGGGCAGGGCCAGCTCTGGGTCATGGGTGGACTGAGCTGGAGGGGATGACTGGAGGCTAGGAGGCCCGAGGAGGCTGGGAGGAGGGCCTCAGCGAGGGCATGGCCATGAGGGGCAGGCTGGGGACTGACAGGTTGGGGGGCAGGGGAAGTCAGCTCTGGGGGTCTAGCCATTGACTCAGGGGACAACGTGCCATCCACAGATGGGGAACCCAGGAGGAGTAGGTGTAGGGTAGACACTTTGCTCAGTCTGGCCATGGCAGCAAGTGCAAGGGGCCCAACGGGAGGGCTGTCCCTAAGCCAGCTGTCCCAGGCTGAGCTTGAAGTGTCCCTACTGATGATCAAATCACGGACGATGGAGAGCTGGTTGTGGGAAACCACAGAGGAGCCCTTTGAGGGGAAGAGAGAAGGCCCTGCATCCTATAGCAGGAGTCTGATCTGAGCACCTGTCCCCCAAAAAGATGGAAACTTGGAAGGAGCAGGGAGCTTGGGGGAAGATGGATGCTGGACAGTGGGGACACAGTGCACATGAGGAAGACTTGGATGCATCCAGGCAAGAGGAGGGTACAGTGGTTTGGGACTGAGAGAGAGGCCTGCAGTGGAAACAGATCCAGGAGTGACTAAAGCCTGGAGAAGGCCCACATTTAGGGGCTGGGGCCTCAGCCCGGGGTATGGAAAAATGTTTAATAAATACAGTAAATTAACTAGTGAACTGGGTTTTGTTTCTATTTATATGTTAGTTAGTTAGTTAGTTAGTTAGTTAGTTAGTTAGTTAGTTAGTTAGTTAGCTAGTTAGTTTTTTGGGGTTTTTTTGTTTTTGTCTTTTTTTGGAACTGGGTTTTGAACTGAGCCCTTCAGAGCCTGATGGGCTCCACAGCCTCCAGGGGCCATGGAGGGAGGGGATGGACAGTCTACCCCGGGCTGGGACTCAGTATCTCCTCCCCAGAACAGCTTGACACCCCTCACCCTGCCTTTAGTCTCACCCGGGCCCTCTGACCTCCCTTCCATGGTTCACCACTGCCCTGAGGATAAAGCCCAGGGCCCTTCTCTGAGCATTAGAAACCCCTGCTACCCTCTGGGGCCTCATCTCTCTACCCTGGCACCCCAGATTCCAGCCCTGTGATATATGCCAGGCTGTGAGGTCCCTTCTCCACAGGGCTTAATCCTCCCATTTCAAATCTTCACTCAAATTCTGCCTGAGCCTGGCCTAAGAAGGAATTACTCCCTCCCCATCCCTTCTGTTGGCCCGGGCATCCTAGCACCCTCTCAGCCAGTGCAGCCTGTTATTATCTGTGGGATTTATTACCAGTCTTTCTGAGAGCCTGTCGGGATGGCTGAAAACAGCTTGAAAACCAATGAGCCAGCAAATGAACGATCGGGTACAACGAATGCCTCACACCAGTCTATACTCCAAGGGTCAGTAAAAGGCAGCCACTCCAGGCCAACTCAAGACAAAGCATGCAGCTTGGCAAGCTAGGTGTCAGCCCCCACCCACGCCCTCGGCCATGAATCCAGGGATGGTAAACAACCCGAGCAACTGTGCAAGCCAGTCTTGCACTCACATGTCCAGAATCAGGAAGGGCAGTTGTTAAACATATAGTTTCTTGGGCCCCAGTCCCAGAGTTTCCAATTCAGTCCATTTGGGCTAGAGCCCAGGAAGCTGCTTTATAAACCGGCCCCCCCAAGTCATAATGACACCCAGCTAGGATGGGTACTCAGGGAACAAATAGCCCAATTAGTAATAACAATAATCATGGTAATAGCTAACTCTTATATAGTACTTCCTGTACTATGTGCCAGGCTCTGTTCTCAGCCCTGTATGCATATTAATTCTTTTAATCCCCACAACAACCCTATGAGTTAGGTCCTATCACCATCCCTACTTTGTGGATATGGTGGCTGAGGCACAGAGAGGTTAAGCAACTTAACTCAAGATCAAGGTTAAGCAACTTACTAAAGATCACACAGCTAGAAGACAGTAGAGTCAGATTCAAATCCAGACAGTCTGGCTTCAAAACACAGACCCTTCACCATGTCACTAAAATGCCTCTTAAAGCAGGCTCTGAACGAGTGGCTGTTCACTCTCCTGTAGCACCTACCATGTGCCAGGCACTATGGCCAGTGCTGTTCATGGATTCACTCATTTCATGGGCACAACAACCCTACAAGGCAGCTCTCGCTATTAACCCCATCTTCCAGATGAGGAAACTGAGGCACAGAGAGATTAAATACACCCAGCCAAGATGTGTTGAATAAATGAGGTAGGAAGAGAAAACAAGAAAGAGAGGGAGGAAAAAAGGGAGGGAGGAAGAACAAACAGCATGAAACAGGAATAATGCATGAAATAAGCAAAAATATAGGGTGGCTTGATCTGCCTGAATGCCAGGAAGTAGAGACACAGGAGGCATGGTGGGGTGGCCCACTTACCTTGGAGGCCCGCATGCCCATGAAGATGGCAAAGAGCAGCAGCAACAGGGAGGTGGCCACCTTGAGGTCTGAGAGCACCACCATGCCCACGTTGACGAAGAACACCATGCCCGAGACAACCAGAGTGAGGTTGAGCAGGGCACGCTGCAGGGTGGGCGTGCGCACCTTCAGCTCGGGCAGCAGCTGCTCGAGGCCCTCCAGTGGCGTGTCCTTGAAGCTCTTCAGCACCAGGTGCCCTCGTTTCGTCCGGGCTGCCAGCACCACCCGCTTAAAGTATCTCCTGACAGAGACAGCAGGGCAAGCAGGATCAAGACTGGCCCATGGAGCCCCCTCCAACCCCAGAACCCTCTCTCTGGCTCTGCAATCACACACCTATTTTAAAAGCTACATAATAATGGGGGCGGGGGGATCAGAAATAAGTTGTGTCCAACAATAGGGGATCAGTTAAATAATGAGATCTGTATTATTGGACAGGTAGGTTGTTCATCAGAATCCTATCTGTCCCACTTCTTCAGATTGTAAACTTCCCTCTCCAAGCCTCAACTTTCCTCACTTGGAAAATCGGGACAACTGTCTCTATCCTTTCTCTTCCTCCAGAAATAGTAGCATTCACTTTCCCTTGGGAAGAAAAGCAGCATCCAGGCCCCAGGCACCCAAACCCAGACACTAACCTGTTGGTCCCCTCTCAACTCTAACCTTGCTCCCTCTCGCTGTAGCTGGGGAACAAGGGCCACCTCACCTCTCTGCCGGGGGCGACTTGGCGAAGAAGCCACGCTTGGAGCCCACGCTGGACTTTCGGGGCATCTGCCCGACTCGCTGGCCCAAGGCCCAGAACTGCATGTAGATATACTGATCCAAATTTATTGTCACCTGCCAAGGAGGATGAAGAAAGCAGAGGCAGCTATGCATGGGCAGGGGTACTGAGGGCAGGATGCCAAAATTAATTGTTCCTCCCCTTTCCCCACTTATCACCATTCGGTGTCTGGGTAGGGCAGCCATATATGGTTGTTCATGTTGTATACTGAACGAGGGCACACCATCTAAGGCAGCGCCTTTCACATAGTAGTCATCTTCATTACCATATTTCCTAGAATCTAACATTCCACTGATTTTAAGAGACAACATTATTTTATGAAGCAACTAAAAAAGACAACACATTGCCAATTAAACAATGTCACAGCACTACTTGTAAGTCACATCCCAATATCAGAGATGACAAAATATGATTTTAGAAAAGGTTCTTAACATCACTAAAATGTGGAACTTTAGAAGATTTTAGCATATTTATAGTTTTGCTGATTTTAAGGATGAGTGTTTTGTGTTATTTATCAATACAATTTTCTGACATATGGTGATAAAGTCTCTAGTCCTGAGAAGATCCATATCTTATTAAACTTTTCCAACAGATGGCAGTGAAGTGGCCTGAGAACATGGAATCTTTTTCTAATTCACCAAGTGTGCCACATGAGCTAGCATTCTGTGTTCGGGACTACGACTCCCAGCAGCTCCTGCCTCCCAAAGGCTCCACCCCTACCCCAAAGGCCTCCTGGGAGTTTTGGATCTCCTCTGGAAGACAGGTACCTGGACCTCATCCTGAGGGTGGTGGACCACTAGCGCATAGGCCAGGGTGTCCTCGGAGAGCGGGGAGAAGTTGGCCTGGGCCAGTAGGGGCTTCAGAGCCTGAAGCACCTCCTGCTCATTGGACAAACGCTGGGGGTCCGTTAGTGATGGCTGGTCGAGGGTCTCCCTGTCAGGGTTGATGGGGTCATACAAGGCCTGAGGAGAGAGTCAGGGAGAAAAAAATGGGCTAGGTCACAGCAGGAGGGATTGTGGGGACACTTAAGGATGTTCTTGTCCTCATCCTTTAAGTGATAGGGTACCCCTAAGGCTTGATCCTGGGCCCTCTCTCTTCAAGCTCACCTGAAGTTGCCCTGCCATTCCAGTGCCTTTAAATACCATCTCTGTGCAGATAACTATCCAACGCACATCTCCAACTTGGACTTCTCCTCCAAGTTCCAGACCTAAAATCCAGTTCTGGTGCATGAGCACATTTCTTCCCTTCTCCTCCCACAGTAATACAGGTGAAGGTGAATGTTTCTCAGGCTCCCTTGAGGGTAGGCATGGCCAGGACACTAAAGTTTCATCCACAGATTGAGCAGAAGTAACAGATACACCTTCTCCCTTACTTCTTGCTCCCCTGGACTTCCACTCTTTCCTTGTTCTGCCACCTTAGAACACTGTTTTCCCCACCATATTATAAATATTTTTAAATCTTCTGTATATTATGATGCTTTGACATCTTAAAAAAACCTTTCAGGCTGTTAAGAGAGTGCCCCTCCTGGGCCTAGACAATTTTTAGATAGTAAAGGGCCCACCGAGGAGCATGTCTTTGATAGCCAAACTAACCAATCCAGAGCCAAACCTCCTCTATCAGGCCCTTGCACCCCAGGAGACAATATTCTTCTGTGGGAATCATCCTAGGGCCAGGTGCCAACAACTAGGAACTATCTCTTTAGCCTATAGCCCAAAGCCCAATGACATTATTCAAACTAGTTAATCTTGAACTTTCCCCTGACTGCCTTGCCTTTCCCATGGAAACCCCAACAAAGGCTCTGACCACCGTAGTACCTTTCCCATGTGGCCCTGCATGGTGTGGCATGCCTCCTGTCTCTAGGACCAGTAAATATAATAAACTTTATTTTTTTCTGAGTCTCTCCTGTATCTCTTCTTGTGGCCACAACTGACTAACCATCTCATAAAAGAACACAAAACACCCACAACCCCGTTTTGACCATATAGAGGTGAAGACAATGTCCTAAGGGACAGCAGAGCAACAAGATGGAAGGAACCTAAGTTCCAGAATAATCTCATGTAGAACAGAGCCACCTATCCACCCTGGCCCACTTACCACAGACTATCTAGTGGGAGAGAAGGGCCGGCCTGTGGCTCACTCAGGAGAGTGTGGTGCTGATAGTGGGAGAGAAAAAATCCTCCACTTCCTTTAAGCCATTGTGTTGTGGGGTCTGTTTGTCACAGCAGCTAAGCCTTTATACTAACTCATACAAACTCCCTACTTGATATTTCTTTTTTGGATATCACAGTCATCTCAAATCCTACATGTCAGTCCTACAGATCACATTCCCCTGTCTCCAACCCTAATCTTCCAAGAAAACAACCATTCTCGATTTCCTCTCCAATATGGTTTGAATGTTTGTCCCCTCCAAAGCTCATGTTGAAACTTACCCCCAATGTGGCAGTATGTAAATACGATCTTGCCCTCTCACCATGTGATGTCCTTTACCACCTTGGGACTCTACAGAGTCCCCACCAGGAAGAAGGCCCTCATCAAATGCATACTCTTGACCTTGGATATCCCAGCCTCAAAAACTAAGAAATAAATTTCTTTTCTTTATAAATTACCCAGTTTCAGGTATTCTGTTATAAGTTACAGAAAACAGACTAAGACACTCTCCCAAACCTATTCCCCCCAACTGTCCCTGGCCTTTCTACTGAATACCAGACTCTTATATTCAATTATCTCTTTGACGTCTCCAGCTGGCTGTCTAATGGCATCTCACATCTAACATGGCCCAAAGAGAATGCTTCATTCCTCCCTTCCCCCTCCCCTCTCCAGTCTTCTCCTTTCAGGAATAGTACCACCATCCATGCAGATGATCTTATCAGGAATCTTGGAGGCATCCTTGATTCCTTTATCATTAAACCCATATCTAATCCTTTAGCAAATTCACTTGGTACATCACTGAATCTGTCTTGAATCACCCTCCTCTCCATCCTCACTGCTATCTTCTCACCAAAGCCACCTTCATTTCTCACCTAAACAATTACTTTGGGCTTCTGCTCTCCCTATGTTTACTCTTGCCACTTCCAATATCCACTTGGCCATGAGAATGAGTTTACTTAGATCATAAACAGATCCCAGCTAGCCAGTTAGCTCACTTGGTTGAAGCATGGTGCTGATAACACCTATGTCAAGGGTTCAGATCCCCACACAGGGCAGCCACCAAAGAAAAGAAAAGGGCTGGCCAAATTAGTTCATTTGGTTAGAGTGTGGTGTTATAAACAGATTCCACACTCCACCCCTCTACTGGCTTCCCACTGCATTTGGAATAAAATCTAGAATTTTTCCACAACCTTTAAGGTCCCTCACAAACTGGCCTCTGCCCTGCCCACCTCATCTTATAAACCTACACCCGTCCCCTTCCCCCAAAAAAGAAATTGTTAAGTAAATGAAGGAAAAGTGAGTTTCCATTTGCCTAGCCTATTTGCTCAAGGAAAGACTGAGTCTCAGGATGACATATAACTTGTATTAGACTATACAATCCTCAGAGGGAAATCACCCCTCTACAAACAAACCCATAAACCCAACTCTCTGTGTGTCTCTCAGGACAGGGAGCCTTATGGAGCCACTTGTTTAGGCCAGGTACTTTTCTTAATAAGTAGAAGGAAATTGGGGAGGGTACTCCAAGTGGGAGGAATGGCTGGGCAAAGGTTTGGCAGTGGGAAATCCCAGGGCCTCAGAAACAACTAAGGAAGGAGGGAAGGAGATAGTGATACAGAAGAGAGTCAAGCTGAGTAAATCCTCATCTTAACTAACTCCTATAACTAGGGTGTGCTGGTTGAGGACAGGACTTCAGCCCACAGCTAAAGCCTGTGTCTGAATCCTGCAACCCAGGTTGATGGAACAGTCCCACAGGTCATGTTCTGGGATATACAGAGTGACCTTGACAAATTCCACTTCCACGGCTGAGTTGCAGTGTGAGAGTGAGGGAATCTCAGAACTGGTGGAGAAAGAAATCTGCATCCATCAAACATCTGCTGTGAGACAGATTCTCTCCTGGGAACTTCACATACACTCAGGGCTTTGAGCCAGAAACCTGGACATTGCACATGATCCCTGCTGCTCCCTTCCCTTGCACCATCAATCCTGCTGTTCCACTTCCAAAAGTGATCAGCACTTCACTCAGCTCTTTCTTCCCCACCAACCCTGCCCTGGTCCATACCACCATCACCTCCTCCTACCTAGATGAGTCCAACAACGTTCTCAATGGTCTCCCTGAATGCCACTGGCACCCATTGACAATTCATTCTCTACACAGCTGCCAGGGAGAGCTAGTAAAGCAATAACAATAATAATAAATAATAGCACACATTTATGTACTGCTAACTATGTGCCAGGCATGGTTAGAAGCATGCTACACATACATTCTCACAGTGTGAAAATGGTACTATTGTTATCCTCATTTACAGATGTGGAAACAGAGTATAAAGAGGCTAAGTAACTGCCTGAGGTCACACAGCCAGGATGTGGTATATCCAGAATTACACATCTGACCATGTCAATCTGCTAAAAGCCTTCCAAGGCTCCTACTGCCCTCAGAACTAATACCACACTTCATACTATGGCCTGAAAGGTCCCAGAGGGATTGACACCACAATCCCCCTTGATCACTCCACACCAGCCACACTGGCCTTAGTTCCTCCATCCACAGGATTTTGCACATGCTGTTGTTGGGAGAGTCTCCCTGCTCCCCTCCCTCCCTCCTACTCTTTCCACTACTGAATTCCTACTCCTCTGTCATGTTTCAGCTTCATTATCACTTTCAAAAAGCATTCCTCCACTCCCCAAGCTGAGCAGGCCTGCCCTGTGTGGTTGGGCAGGATGTGCACTGCACAAAGGTGTCAGATCTATGGGGCACCATCATAGACACTGTAGACCTGGACATTTTCATGACAGTCACTCTTTAGATGGAAATAAAGGGTATAGAGCAGCACCGTACAATAAAACTTCTTGCAATGACGAAAACATTCTAGATTTGCACTGTCCAATAAGGTCAGAACTGGCCACAGGAGGCTACTGAGCACCTGAAAAATGATAAAGTGACTGAGGAACAGAATTTTTTAAATTTCACTTAATCTTAATTATTGTAAATTTAAAAGCCACATAAAACAAAACAATAAAAATGAAAACAAAAAATAACAAAAGCGGGCCGGCCCGTGGCTCACTCGGGAGAGTACGGTGCTGATAACACCAAGGCCCCGGGTTCGGATCCCACATAGGGATGGCCGGTTGGCTCACTGGCTGAGCGTGGTGCTGACAACACCAAGTCAAGGGTTAAGATCCCCTTACCGGTCATCTTTAAAAAAAAATAAAAATAAAATAAATAAATAAATAAATAACAAAAGCTACATGAAGCTAGTGGCTACCTTATTGGATAGTGCCAGTCTAGAGAAAATGGCACCCTTTTCTAATTTGCATAGAGATCCCGGGTACCAAAACCAAGGTCAGCTTTGTTGCCCATTTGCACAGAACTGTGCCCCTTGCCTTCACGGTCTGAACTTATCCATTCATTGCAGAGAGCAGCTGATTCACAACCATCCCCACCACCCAAGTTCAGCCCCCTGAGGGCAGGGTACAGGCCTGATTTTGCTTCTCAATGAAGCCCCAGCACCTGGCACTGGGCCTCACACAAACATCTGCTGAAAGAATGAAAGATTTAATTGGGTCTTCATGGTGATTGTTGCTGCCATTTTCTATCCCCATTCTCCCTTGGGGACCTCAAATACCATCTGCCTACTGAGGACTCCCAGATTTCTGTCTCTAGTCCAGCCATCTTGCCTGAGCTCCAGATTCACACAGCCAAGAGTCTACTCAACATTTCCACAGAGACGTCCAACAGGCAGAACATCCTCTCACACCCACTATGTCCCAAACTGAGGTTCTGCTCCCTCCCCAAACCTCTCACCATCTTCCCCACCTCAGGAAATCCTTCCAGGTGCTCAGGCCCAAAGCCTGAGGGTCATCCTGGATGTTTCTCAGACATCCAACATGTCAGCAAATCCCGAAGACACTACATTCAAAACATAAGCAGAATCCGACCATTTCTCACCCCCTAATCTGAGCCACGCTCTTCCCCTGGGCTATTGTTGTCACACATCTTTGCTGGGAGAATTAAGTACTGTCTCTGCAACTCCACTGGAAGACAACTGGAAGCTCCTGCCTAGTTTCTCCTGGATTCTGCCCCATATGCCTTTTTCCTTTGCTGACTTTTTTTTTGGGGGGGGGGGGGGGGGGGGGGGGGGGGGGG